GGGTGGATATAGCTCGCTAGCAGCCTCGCACCGAGGACCTATCAACGTCATCATTTACCCAGAATGCTTTCCGTGTGTAAATAAAAATAAAGTCGAATGTTACAACTAATCATGGATCCCTTTAAAACTGCTAAGAGTGAGTTTGTGATGTTACCTGGAGCAGGTCTCTCTTGCCGGATCGACAGAAGTGGTCGTCCTCGCTGGAGGCCGTCATGTCGGCAGACTTGGTTTCATTTTCAGACGGAGGGCTCGGCGTCGCCTCGACGTGACGACAGAGGTTCGTCTTTCGCGTGGAAGCGGACGCGCCTTTGCCTCCGTCGCTGCTGACGTCTCCTGGCGTCGACGCGTCGTTCCTCGCCCTCCGCGGCAGGCTCAGGTCTAAAGGCTTCAGGTCCTGGCCGCGCGCGGCCGCGCCGCGTTCCCGGCAGAAGCCCAGGTAGAGCGAGAGCTCGGCGCTGAAGAAGTTTTCCGTCTGCGTGGAAACAGTCGCCGTACGCGGAAGAGGCTGCGGCGTCTCGCTGACGTGCTGAAGGCACGAAGCGGCGTCCGGCGTTGGGTTTATAACGAACGGCTCATCCATGTACGGGTTCACCGCTTTGGGTTCAGCGCGCGCCGATTCTTTTTCCTGTTTGGGCAAATTCACTTTAAACTTCATCTGCGTCTGGAAGGACATTTCTTCCCACTGTTGCAGCTCGTAAGCTCCTTCTGTTTTTATCTTTAGCTTGGGTTCCTGTACGAGCCAGCGGGAGTCCTGTGAGTCTGCTTTCGTTTGACACCGGTTCACCTCCTGCCGTCTGTCGTGTCGCAGCTCAAACGCCGGCGGGGACGCAGCTCCGTCGCTGACTTCGCTGCTGGACGGCGACGCTCTGAACGTCTTCTGGGTGATGAACAGATCCTGGCTGTTGACGTCGTCGCCGGTGCACTGAAGATCCTCCTGTGGCTGACTCCGGGTCGGTCCCGTCGATGCGACCTGTGAGCGGCTGCCGCCTTCTCTCGCAGCTTCTGCTTCTTTGGGCGACGAGGAGGCGAAGTGTGGGCRTTTGACGCGTATGTAGGAGGGTAATAAAGCAAACGCCACGTGCTTTTGTCTCTTCGCTTCCTTTGCGGAGGTCTCTGGGAGRCGATCAGGATTTAGGTCCTCGTGTTGGTTCTGGTTTATTAGTGTGAGCTTTTTCAAAGGTTCTGCTCGTGCACCGCCGCACTGTGTGAACACGAGGTCGTCTAACTCCACCATCTTTTTCTTTTTCTTCTTCTTCTTCTTCTCTTTGTTTTTATCCTTCCTGGTTTCTTTCTTCCTTTCCTTCTTTTCCAACATCGCTTCTTTGAATTTGGTCTTTTTCTTCGTCTTATGGGTGCCTGGCTGGGTCTTTGTGGGGCTGCTGTTTTTAAGCTTTTGGTTCTTTTTCTCTGAAGCCTTTTTTCCAAGAAAACTCCAAGACGCCACACAGAAATCTGTGTCCTCAAAGTCACCCATGAGTCCTCTAAAACAACACAAAACAAAAGTTTACTTCACAAAAGCTCAGGAAACAAAACCAGAAATTACTCAAACATATTTCCAGACATTTTSAGTAAAAACCCAGGAAGAAGGCGGAAGGAAAAGTAGTTCCTGCCAACTTTAAGACTTTAATTTAAACTAAATTATTTAATTTCCATTTGTTTGTTTGGAGGAAAATATTTTAACAATCATAGAATTAAAAAATACGTTTAAAACAGCAATTTATCTTACAAAAACGTACAAACATTTGATATTAGCATGGTGTAAATGAACCATGGCCACTTTRATGAGGTTTTAATCATCCATGATCATTCAACAGTTTGCAACACTGCTACCAAACGCTACACAAATAAGTTTAATTAGTAGTTAACTTAATTGTATTGAATTTTGTTACACTTTTTAAGATATGCTTATTTCACATTTTAAGAGAAACCCCTTGCAAGTTCTCGCATCATGAAAAAAATGTTAAAATTTAGCGTCTTCCTGCTTAAAAAATATGTTTTTTTAAACAGTTTCAGGTTTAATTTACCTCAAAAATGATCCATGTCGAGGGTTAAAAGGTTAAAATCCGTTTTCAACGCGATAATTTACTTAAACTCATCGTAACAAAACTAACCGGCGGGTTTCTTCTACATCAAAGGCTCACCGCCGCAGCCTGGGGTCGTGTTGCGTTCAAAGACCTGACGTAAGGGCGGACTTCTGACACTCTTAATTCACTGTACACTGA